AAACAAATTAAGAAATGGTTGGCTATTTACAGAATCTTTATCATCATCATCATCATCATCATCATCATCATCATCATCATCATCATCATCATCTCTAGTCTTATATGCATACATGCATACTTTGTTAATTAATTCAGGAGAATAAAGCTGTACACATGCACACATTTCTTAATTTGTTTTAAATCTTAACTCAGGAAATCCTGATAGATTTCTTGTAAGAGGAAGGGTTGATAGATTTATAGTATGACCCCACGGTGTATTTTTTAACTTCCATTCCAGAAAAACACCATCAGAAATTTGCATAGTTGATTGATAGGTAGCTCATTGCTGACTGACACATTCTTTCATGACTGTCCACTTCTGACTTGCTTCTGGATACTGCTTCATACCTCTGACTTTTTTCCCGCTTTAGCAACAACTGGCAGGAGTTGCTGGAGATGACAAATTACAAAGGCAAAAAGTTGCTAGATGCTGAAGCAATTTACAAGTGCCTGCAGGACTTGATGGAAGCTCTGAACCACATTGAGGTAAAAATTGTGTCAGAAAGCAGTTTTTCTGCCCGAATATGTGTCTTTCTGAGGTTCATATTAGATAGGAAACAACAACCATTCATTTCTATTGTTTACCTAGCCTTTCCACACTAAGCATTTTTTTAAAAAAAATAAGTTTTTATTTTATTTTATTACATACAAAAAATCCCATTTCAATTGAACAGTGCATTGTTTGGGTACATCCATTCTGGGAAGTAATAATCATAATGTTCACAACAATATTCCTTACATTAATAACAATTATATTAATCTTAATACTAATAACAACAATCTTAATATTTATTTAACCATGTTAACATATATTTCTTATATCTCTAGTCCTTCCTTATATTTCCCTGTTTCTGGCTCCCATTCTTATCATCTAGCCATTGATAAAATGAATACCAGGTCAAAAAGTATTCAGGGTTTTTTTTTTTTTCCTTAATTGTGAGTGTTAGCTTATTCATTTCTGCACATTCTAATATTTTTTCTAATTACATCATCATCTGTTGGGATCTCTTCACTTTTCCATTGTTGTGCAAACACTGTTCTTGCTGCAGTGCATTAAGCAATCTTGATGGCTAACAATAAATGTAAAATTATAGTATTGTGAAAGTTTACATTTGTCCATAATATTTTTAAATCAGGAAAATATAAAAAAAAGAAAGAAAAGGAGTTGTCCAGTGTTTTATTCCCATATTTCTCTCATATGTACAATTCAAAATGTGGAAATTTGGCTTAAATGAATAATGGGCAGTGGCAGATTAAGGCTCACTGGTGCCCTAAGCATTGACAAATCTTGGTGCCCCCTCCCAGTGGTGGGATTCAGCTGGTTTGCACCACTTCGGGAGAACCAATTATTAACTTTCTGAGCAGTTTGATGAACTGGTTGTTGGAAGAAATCATTAAGGCAGAGAACCAGTTGTTAAATTATTTGAATCCCACCACTGCCCCTCCTTTGTATATACTGTACAAACCTTCATTGGGTTTTTTTTTCTTTCTCAACTTTGTGGTGCTCCCTTTGGTCCTGGTGTCTAAGCACATGCTTAGTCTGCTTAATGGTTAATATACCACTGCTAATGGGATTAAATTGTACCCCACTGCATGAAATACTTTTTTCTTCAGCCTCTTTCTTTCCAGTATCAAAGTTGGGTTGTAGAGCAAATATTTTATACAGTGGAAGGGGAGGGATTTAGATCACTTTATGGGTATGATTATTTTCATTTACCAATAGACTCCCGCATATGCAAATGAAAAGAGTTTTAGATACTTCCCTATGCCTAACTTAGAACAAAATCAAACCAGAATGATTAACAGAAAATGTGTTTGGTCTTTAGGACAAATTGAAGACCATCCCAGATTCCATTGCTAAAGATCTGAATGGGGTGCAGTCACAGCTACGTAAGCAAGCAACTCTTGAGTATGAATTATTTGGGAATAAGCAGCAGGTAAGATATACTGCATTCCTAAAAAAATGTATTAAGAAAATTTTATGGCTGCCCAACTCACAGAAATTCTTACAGATATAATAGTCTTAAATTTGCCTGTGGTCCTTGTCTTCTAAATATGAATATGCTTTAAATATGAATTTGAACTTAAACTAATCATCAGCAAGGTGCCATCAACAAATAGTTAATGCTTTGGACTAGGAGCAGAAAAGGTCAAGTTATAGTTTACCTTCAGACATGGAAATTCATTGGGTAACACTAAGCCAGCCACCCTGCTTCAATATAAGGTGTTGTTCCAGGGAAAACTAGGGATGCAAGTGGCACTTTGAATTCATGAATGAAATATGAGACATCATCATCTTTTAATGATCCCATAATTCCTTGTGGTGTGGAGTCTAGGAAACTGAATGGAGTTGTTTACTGGCCAGATGCCCTTCCTGTTGCCAATGCAGAGTTTTGTTCAACAGATATATTCTCATGTGCCCATAGAGAGAAGTATCTGCCTCTACCTAGGATTGAACTCACAGCCTCCTGATTGTGAGGCGAGAACTCCACCTCTAGGCCACCCCACTACTCGAATGAAATATGATACATAAGTTTAGTAAATGAACCAAAGAAGAAAGCCTTGAACTAGTACTTTCTCAGAGGGTTCTTTCAAATGCTATGGATGAGGTGGTAGAGCCCTTCCTTGCCTTGAAATGGGGGTACCCCACCTATAACTCTTTTACCTCCTTACCACCCAGGAGGAGAAATTATATGGATTACCAGGCTGAGACTTTTGGGGAAGAAGAGGAAGCTCCATAGCTGCAATCCCAGTCCACCCAACCTTGCCCTTACTTTCACCTTCCCAGTATTTTTCCGGCATTGTTTTTGCTACCTTGTGAGCTGCTAGCTTCAGCAATTCTTCCTCCACCTCCTTATGGAGGACGAGAGAGAAAGACGATGAACATATTGAGTTGTGAGAAGAAGCAAAAGCAGCACTTGGCCTGACAGATTTGCTGATGGACGAATGAGAGGCAGAAACAAAAACGATTCGGCGGCGGCTGCTCCTCTATATTCCTGCCAGTGCTATCAGACTATTTCTCATATAGACATGACAGATTGTCCTCCTGGGCTACTTAGTACAGCCAGCTGCAGATATTGTGCCAGTTTCAAATCCCCAGTTAGTGTAAATAGACTAGAGACAGTCCATTTCAATAGTTTAATTTTCTGAGGCCTGCTTATCTCTGCGAACTGGAATTCAAGACTCTGGCTGCTTATGAAGCTCTGTATAGAGTGGAGTGGAGATACCCATCGTTTCGGAGAGATGTCATTGATGGATGGGTTCTTAATTTTTTATTTTAAAAGTTAAATGATTCACTTCGGGCTTTTTCCTGTTTTGCAGCTGCATGTTTTGATTGATACTGCAGATGGCGTGCTCTGCCTGTGCTCTGAGACGCAAGCAGCTGAGATCAAGGCAAAGCAAGAGGCCTTAGTAGAGAATTGGGAAGTCTTGCGGTGCAAAGTGGAACAAAACAGGGAGCAGCTGGAGCAAGCTTGCAGATTATACCGCTTCCTAACCTACGTGAGGATTTCAATGTTCTTTTCTATTTTTAAAAAAATCCTATGTTATTCAGCTCTCCAGTTGTATTGGCCAGTATTATCCAGAATGGTCAACCAATATTCTGCAACTGATCCATACAATTGCACACATTTAACTGCAGAATGTCATATCATGTACCTGTATTAACGTGTTCATTTATAGTATACATTCTAAAGGTGCATGATCCTGATTAGGTCTTATGGAAAACAAAAGACCTTTGCAGGCAGGATCTTCTATGAAGCTAAAGGTTGACATCCATCTTTCATATGGATCTATTAATGTAATATTGCCAGCATACGTATACTGAAAAACATAAAAGAATCTGTGTCAAAAGCAATCTTTGTAAAGTTCTTTTATCTAATAAATTTCTAGGGTAGTTATTCAAAATATTTGAAATCCAGGCTGTTCTGTTTATTGTATTATCTGAGATTTTCCTGAACTTGTAGCGTTCAACTTGGCTTTTCTCAATTCTTTCCTTTATTTGTCTCACTTTTGTTTACTCATATAGTCTTCCTATATGGTTTCTTCTCATAACATTACTTGTTTTTTCACTCCTCCCCTATTTTCCTAAACCAACTTAAATCTGGGGGGAGGCTTCTATTTTCGTCACCACCCTTTCTGCTAAAGGCCATGAAATCTATAAGAAGAGTATTTTTATTATAGCAATAGCATTTAGACTTATATACTGCTTAATAGTGCTTTACAGCACTCTCTGGGCAGTTTACATTATCAATATATTGCCCCCAACAATCTGGGTCCTCAGTTTACCATGGAAAGGCTGGAAGTCTGAGTCAATAGCAATAGCAGTAGACTTATATACCGCTTCATAGGCCTTTCAGGCCTCTCTAAGCGGTTTACAGAGAGTCAGCATATTGCCCCCAACAATCTGGGTCCTCATTTTACCCACCTCGGAAGGATGGAAGGCTGAGTCAACCCTGAGCCGGTGAGATTTGAACCGCTGAACTGCTGATCTAGCAGTAGCCTGCAGTGCTGCATTTAACCACTGCGCCACCTTGGCTCTTGAGCCTGTCAGGATCAAACTCCAGGATCTGGTCAGAGTTAGCCTACAATATTGCATTCTAAGCACTGCGTCACCAGGGATCATTGTGATGGAAAGTATAATCAAAGTGGCCTTTGTTGGCTATGGTTCTCAACCAACCAGAAGGCACTTTGATTAGAAGTTATACAAACACACCCAGGCAAGCAAATCTGGTACCATTTGTATTTTCCACTGGGCTCACTGGAGAAAAATAAGCTGAGCTATGCTCAGAAAGGTTCAAAATGTTAGTGAAGATCCATCAGGATTTTTATTTCATGGAATTCCATAGCAATGGATCCTGTCGTTGTCTTGGAGCTCAGCAGTAGACCCCAAACATCTATTGTCAACACTGACCACATGATTTTTTTCTTCTTCTCTCATTTGAATCCCTTCCCACAATTGCAATCTAGTAAGGCAAGCATAATAATGAATGACACACAATTAACCATCAAAGAGAAGGTCAAACTGGGGAATTATTGTCTCTGAATCTTTCTAGTCCTTTGGTAGACACAGATCCCCAGCATATAGAAGGACTTTTCTGAACATTTAAATAAGGAAATAGCTCCACCTAATCATGTTCCTTCTGGGTTTTTTCCCAAGTCAATTACACTACCTTTATTTCCTATTTGTGACATTAGAATCATACCTTTTCCTTCTGGAGTTCAGAGTCATGCATTACCTTCAGTACAATCATGTAAAATAGAGGGATTTCCCCCAAGAATTTCAAAGCTCAGCAGAGTTTTGAGTCAGCCATTAGCTCAACAATTCAAGTACTCTATTGTAGTACACTGGCTTAAGCAATTTAGTTACTCTGTGAAAAACTGGAAGATGCTTATCGGTGTGCATTTGAGATACTGCAGGTATGTAGCTTGAAGCTAGTAAGGTCAAAAATCAAGATTGGAGGCCAAACAAAACCATTTCAAAGTACTGTGCAAGTGCCATCAGCATCCAAACCAGTAAGATAGTATTCTACAAAATGGAAAATAATACATTTTTAATATTTAGGGTTTAACATTATTTTGTAATAGTATTATATTATAATTTTGGTTCATACTGGTTTTATAATCCTGTAAACTCTTGTACTTCTGTTGCTATTCTACTACAATATTGTTCTTCTGCTCCATTTGAATTAGAATAATATTGCATTATTACATTTTAGGAGAAGGGCTATGTGTCTGCATTAGATCCATACTTTATTATTAATTATTATGTATCTGTCATATTAAAATGGAGCTGAGAAAAATCCCTCTCTCACAGCACGTAGATCCAATACCAATTATTGAGAACGCTGACATTGACTGGATTCACTTATCATAAAAAGTCATTATGTCATTATGAAAAGAAAACAGCTTGATATTACATTTAATATCACAGAACCAGAGTCAAATAGAAATGATACTTCCTGCCCAAGAGAGATTTACCTCCAGAGCTTTATGCAAAGCAAGAAGAAGAAAGAGGCACAGGAAATTTGAAATTTGAACATGAATTGTTATAAATAGAACTTGCATTTGATGTATGCACAGCAGTTACGTGGATTTCTTTGTAATTGCTTTACAGTTTTGCTGCAATAAATCCACATAGCTGAGCCTTGACGCCCAAGGACATACAATATATTCTATACTTGATAAATAGATAACCTTGTCCATTTTTTGTTTGTTTGAGGCAAAACACAATGTGTAACCAACCACATTTTAGTGCTATGTGTGAACTGACCCACAGGAAGTGTCATCTGTTACCTACTGTATATTATCATTTAAGGATATAAATCTTACCCCACATCTTAAATTTCCTGTCCTCAATTTTAAGGTACGGGACTATTCTTCCTGGGCATCTGAGATGAGCAGAGAAATGACAGCTGAGGAGACCATTCGTGATGTATTTACCAGTGGTCTGAAGATTAATCAGCATCAGCAGCTATTGCCAGAGATTGAGTCTCGAGATGAGATTTATGAGCGGGTATCACAGCTGGGACAAGAGCTTGCACTGGAACAGAAAACGGCAATAGGAGAAGTATATATACACATAATACAATTTTGTAACTTTGCACAGAGCTCAGACCACCAATATTTCCACAAAATTAGCCTGTTATGAATAAGTTTTTTAATCCAGAGATTTCATGAGATAAAAACCAAGCAAGATATGGTACTTTTCAGAGGGAAAAATGAGTTTTATTAAAACACACCCACCTGCTCCCTTATGTATAAACAGACAATTGCTGTAATTATAATTGGAAATTGAGCCGTAGCATATTTCTGTTACAGCAATATAAATTACATATCAACCACTGCCCCTTCGGGGATTATTACTGACGTTTTATAGCAGTTGGCTTCTTCTTTTCAGATCCAAAGTGTATTAGAAACTCTGATAGAAGCAAAACATATAGTGTACCTGGTATGGGCACAAAAGAAGGAATGGCTGGAGAAGACCCATCTTTTGCAGATATTTTACCGAGACTGTGAATACCTGGACAACATCTCAAACTCCCAAGAGGTAGTGCTAGCACATGCTTTATTGGTGTTTTGATGCATTATAAGGTGCATTTTAATCTATTAAATTCTTAACATCTTCTTTTTGTCCTATGCTCCACCTATTCCTTCTATTTTACACATATCTTACATGTATAGAAAACGTATCATATTAGTAAGAAAACATTTGCTTTCGATCACCCTTATCGTTAGTCCTAAAAGGAGATTTGGTTTCTGACTTCTTAGTAGCGTGGTCAATAATACACCTGTACAAGGATACAGTATATGATGTGAAATTAATCCTTTGATACTGAAAAAAAACTATCACAGAATAACAAAACAATAGAATGACAAAGTAGGAAGGAACCTCGGAGGTCTTCTAGTCCAACCTCCTGCTCAAGTAGGAGACCCTGTACCATTTCAGTTAAATGGTTGTCCAGTCTCTTTCACTGGAGATGGAGCACCCACAACTTCTCAAAGCAAGCCATTCCATTGGTTTGTTGTACTCACTGTCAGGAAATTTCTTTTTAGTTCTAGGTTGTTGTGTGTTTTTTTTTCCTTGATTAGTTTTCATCCATTGCTTCTTGTCTTGCCTTCTGGTGCTTTGGAAAATAGCACAGCCTCAGGAATTACAATCTGATGCTAAGTTTGGTTGATGTAATGGCATTAAATATTTGCTTAAGTTAGCAGCTGCAAAGGAAAGCATCAGGGGTTAGCTATTGTAGCAGACGAGAAGGAAGAGATTATTCCTTTTCTACATAACATGGTTCAATTAAAAATTACTGCCCTGGTAGCTGCTATGTGTCCCAGAAGTGAAGAAACTGTAAGCTGCTGACAGTGTCAGCTCCATTAATCCCTGGTTAAAATAGCAGTTTCTGCTTGTATGATTATGGTGTAGAAAGTTTTCATTGAATCCATGATACAGGTCAGAAAATCTTGAACTCATTTCCAACTGGTTTATAATGGAAGCTCATTCTATATATGAAGAGGACAAATTCTTATTTAATAGGGGGTTGTTGTTTTTTTGTTATTTTGTTTGGAAAGGAGAGCAAAAGTCCTTCATCTAAATTCTTACATTTTCCTGTCCCATAATACCAAAGTTTCAGATGGAGCTTTCAAGTGGCTTTATCGCAACCAGGTTAACCCTTCTTAAGTTGCATGATACTAGCAGAAAGCAAGCATTTAGAACTGAGAGGACAATGCGCCATTAACTTTTCGTCTGCATTTGGAAAAGAGAGTGTATGGGTGGTGTTAACTGTGTGTGAATATTTGTCATTTAACGCAATGGATCTTGATTTAACTGAACTGTATCTCTAAATTTATATAAAGGCTATCCCAGCAGTGGCGTAGGAAGAAAGAAAAAAGCATGGGGTCATGTTCCGAAGTAGAGTGCTTTCCCATTCATTCCCTGTGCCAGTGTGTCTGGCCTTGATTTTATGCCAGCAGCTTAGGTTACATCCAAATTACTTAAGGCTTCAGAAGATTTCAGCAAGGTTTAGTCTGGGATTTCTCTATCCTAAAGTAAATAGCAGCACATATGGAGGAAATTAAGCAAGTATATATCTGTCTTTTTATTACTGACTCTGGGTATGCCGTTACTTGGAAGAGTTGTAGGAAATTTTTCTAAGACTTGTTAAACAGAGAAGCTGCTATTCCTTGTGCAGATTGAGAGAGGGATAGAGTGCAGTTCTTCAGCTTTTAGCACCAGTGGAACTTAATCTTGTCTTTCAAGGCTATAGAACCATTGGTGAGTTAATAACTTTTTTTAAATCTAAGAACTGTTAATTAGGTCTTGGATTACATTTCTGGCTTTTGCCTCATCATTCTGATCGTTTTTTCAGTTTGCTGCATGCTCCTATTATTTTGCAGACTGATTGAGCAGTCATGCCAATTCTACTACGTCTCGTTCTTAATCAAATACAGATGCCTTCATTATAGAAATACTTCTTTACAGTTCACTTATTCACACCAGAGGAAGAATGGAAATCTCTACTGCCAAGCTAAAAAGGATGAAACGTTTGTTTTAAGCAACAGCTCAGAAGCAGAGATTGCTTTAGCTTTTCAAACTTTAGGATTAAAAACTGCAGGATGTCATGCAAATATCTTCCTAACAAGACTTCAGGCACACCCATCTATATTTCCACAGTGGAAGTTATGTTGTCTTCTGCCATAGTGGTTCCATCACCAATCTCCAGAGCTGCTGTTTATGATGCTTCTTTCCAAAGGATGCCACCAACAGAAAGTGTATCAGCCTGGTATTTTCCAGCTCATTCATCATCTGCAGAGACCTTATCAATAAGTGACATCTTGCCTTCTCCCTGCCTGTCTTCAAAGGTTCACAGTTCAAGGCTAGATATAGTGTTGGCACATTCGAAAAAGAGGAATGGTTTAGAGAAAGATAACAGCTGTATTAATTCCTCCACCATCAAGTCTGCCTGTCCCACACTTTTGAGAGATACTCGATGCAAAGGACACAACAGCATTGATGCTCAATCATTGCTTGTCTCCTGCAGTGGTGCAAGTGATTGGAAAGGAAATGACTGGGATGCTTGTCAATCTTCTGCAGCAGCTTTCCATTCGGCTGCTTCAAGAGCTCTACCATGCTGGACATCACGTCTAGATGTTTCTCTGTGTGCCATTCCAGATGCTTCATCATCTCAGAATAAAAATCTGTATCAAATTCTTGCACCGCGCAGCTCCAAGTCGACAGAGCAGAACTATCATCGGTGCAATTCTCAGTTTTCAGATCTCCATGCTTCAGTAAAACTCTATATTTCAACTTGCAGTGTTGCTATCAAACCAATTAAAACTGCTTATTCCAGTGTTCTATTACCTCATCTGAAAAAGATCTCAGCTACATCTCCTGGACTTACAAGAGGAACCCAGAAGAGTCATCAAGTTATCCCTTCTGGAAACTCTGCAAATCACCAGGTGAAACAACTTCATGTCACCAACCCCACTAAGTGTCCCATTCTTCTTCCACAGACAGTCTTCAAAGAAATATGGTTGACACCATCGACATTAGCTAAAGCAGATGCCCTTCTTGGCAAAAGAAAAGTTACACATTCAACATTAAATCCTGATATGCTCATCTTTCAGAACCATCACTCAGCTAGCAAAGAATTTCGGAAGACTTCTAGTATTGGAATAATTCCTGCTCAGCACAAGATTTTCAAGATATCTTTAATACTTGCCACCCCTTGGACATCCTTTCCTATTAAAGTAGTAAGAGAGTTCAGAAAACAGCCAGCTCCTTCAATCTTGATCAAAGCTTCATGTTCAGATATGGGTGGTTCTACTATACAGTCAGATTGCAAAAGCTCCAGCATCTTATTGTCCATAAATCCTGTTTATTGTCCTGAATACCAACCTTCACAAAAGCATCTTCAGGATCCAAATGCTGCAACGAATGCAAGTCAAACTGCCTTCTTAACAAATACGCAGGCATCATCTTATGGACATGGTGAGAATACATGGTGTCCATCTATCTCGGTAAAAATTGCTTCCTTTGGAACTGGGAGAAAGGTGGTGAAGATTTCCATTCCATTTTAGAGAAATGTACCCTCAACTGTCATTTGTTCTGGGATTAGTTGTAACTGACAGTATTATCAATTTTTAGGTTAATTTGTTGCAAATATTTCTAGGAATGGTAAAGCTCCAAGAGTACTTTTGTTTTCTTAAAGTAGGATGATTAGAAACTGTAAGACTGTAAAGGTGGGTTTGTTTCTTGTTGACCTTGGAAGTCTGTTTACTATTTGTTGCTTAATTTATGCTGTTTCAAGCTTTCACATGGAGTAAAACAAGTTATGCCTTCAGTGGCTCTAAATATTGGGCTTTAGTGAAATAGATCTCTCTCTCTCTCTCTCTCTCTCTCTCTCTCCCTCCCTCTCTCTCTCTGTCTGTGTGTGTGTGTGTGTGTGCGTGCGTGCACTTGCACACACGTGCATGCACATGCACGCGCACACACACGCATGCATATACACACACACAGCAAATGCTGTTCACATTTGTTGAATTTCCCAGTGGTGTGTGTTTGTATGTAGGTATGAATATACTCTCAGTAAACAGTCATTAGTAGTAAGAACTATGAATATATTGAGAGAGAGAGACTGTGTGCATAGATACACATACATATATATTTTCAAATCAAAAATATATTAAATCTTTTTTTCTAGAAATGCCTTATTAGTTTGTCAGTTTACACCAGGAAAAAATAGATTTGGAAATGTATCTGGTTTTGGGATAAGGTATTAGAGCCCTTCAATTTTTAACATTAGTTTTAGCTGAAGGAAAATGAGGAACAAATTTTAAAAATCCACTTGTATATTATGCAGTATACAAAAATGAAGGTCTTTTATAAGAAAAACATTTTGACAGCAGGTTAGTGGAAGATTAAACAATTTCTATGAAAGAAGAAAAGTTGCCATTTCTTAAATAATGTTTCCACAGAGAATTCAGTCTGATTTGAAAAATACATTTCTAGTTGTTATTATTCTATATATGCATTTTTGCTCACTTTAAGATTGTCGTTTAAAAGATCTCTTGATTTCTCTTAAATGTTATTGTTTCTTGATACAATTTAATTGAAAAAGATAAACAGTAAAATGTAACCTTAATCATGATCTGTATTTCACTGTTATATAAATAAGATGATAAATCCTGATATTGGTTCATGTGTCACACTTTGTGGAGAATATTTCAAAAATAAATATTGTTTAGTTAGAATGCAGAATCCTGATTTCCTATCAATATAAAGATTCTATTCTATTCCTTTTTTTAAAATTATGATAAAACCTTGTGTATTATTGTGACAGGACATCGGGCATACCATTCTTCAGCCTGTGATAAGCTGACACACACTTGAAGCAATGACCTCAGGAGCCATAATGTTAAATATGAAACGCCACTCTTGAGTATTGCTTTCATTAGTGAGCTGCTCAAATGCGCTGCGGTATTTACATAGTGGTGCAATTGTACTCTCTGAATCTGCAAATTGTCATGGATAATTAATGGCAGCTACAGTTTGAGATGTAAATTTTAAGATGGATTAAGATTTTAAGAACCAAAAAAATTCCCCTTTCCAATAGTCACCCTTGCATTGATACCCTTCAAAGGGGTAGGTGAATGGCAACACCGTTGAATCTAGAAAAAAGTTCTAGACAGGAGGTCCTGGCTCCAGTCTGCATTAGGGTGTAACTCAATATGTGAAGAAATCTCTTTGGAACTGCTTGACCTCTTGTCTTCTCAGATATCATCCTCAGATGAGACCATGACAATCTGAGCAGATTCAGTTTAGAGTGGGTGTGGAGAGAAAACCAGGGGAGGTTCTGTTATGTAAATAGCCCTCTGGATGGAATCTCTTGTGACACACATCTTCATATTTATTGTGCATTTTACTCAAGAGTATTCAACTTCCTGTGTTATAAATGTTTTGTAGCTATTTGCTTCATGAGCACTTGCTATGTAATATAAAATGATTCACATAAAGGAACCGTTACTATAATTTTCATATATTAAAGATGGTAATTTTTAAAGAGAAGGTAGCAGTTTGAAACACTTACTTGTACAAGGGGGCATTCTGTTCTCATCTGTGTTCCACTTCAAAATGTATTTATTTACCTATTTTATTTATGGGTAAACGAGGAAAATGGGTATAGCAATCGGTGTTTGGGAATGGTGCCAGAGTCCACAAGCATACAATATTTTAAAAAAATAGAAATCAAAATAATAAAAAACAGAATGTCCATCTTAGAAGAAAACATTCAAGTAACATATGCAGTTCCAGAAGAGGCTTCCTACTCATCCTAACCCAAGGCCTGGAAAAAAGCCAGATTTTTAAATACTTTTTAAAAATAGTCAGACTGGGGGCTTTGTGGAATTCTGTTCAGAGGGCATGACAGAGGAGGCTTACTTCCTGCATCCTATCGGATGACATTGTTTAATCAAAGGGACCTGTTAAGACAGGCAGAAACTATGGGAGATAAACAGTCCTCAAATAGCCAGGATCTTTAGAGGTGGTGACCAGCATCTTGAACATCATCAGAAGCTAATTGCCAACAGTGCAGCTTGCTAAGCAGCAATGTTATATGGATATATCCTAGTGCTCTCATCACTAGCAGTGTGCTGCAGCTGCCGAAAAAGCCAACAGAGTTCTAGGCTGCATGAACAGAGGAATAGAATCAAGATCACATGAAGCGTTAATATCCCTTTATAAGAAGAGGGAGTCAAGCTATTCGCCAAAGCACCTGAGGGCAGGACAAGAAGCAATGGGTGGAAACTAATCAAGTAGAGAAGCAACTCAGAACTGAGGAGAAATTTCCTGACAGTTAGAACAATTAATCAGTGGAACAGCTTGCCTACAGAAATTGTGAATGCTCCAATACTGGAAGCTTTTAAGAAGATGTTGGATAACCATTTGTCTGAAGTGGTGTAGGGTTTCCTGCCTAAGCAGTGGGTTGGATTAGAAGACCTCCCTTCCAGCTCTGTTATTCTGTTCTGTTCTATTTTGTTCTACATTTGGCCAACTACATAAATTTCATGGGCAGCCCAGTGAAGTGTTCATTGCAAAAATCTACACCCAAGATGACTAGGACATAAATGATAATTTAGAGGACTCAGGTTGGGAGTATATACTGTTTGGAATGTATATAGCTAATTTATTCCTGTGCCTAATTTTCAAGCTATATTCTTTCAGGGATGGGTGGCATATAAAGTTAATCAATTTTAAAAAGTCTTTATGTTATCCATTGAACATGAATTTCTATTTGGAATTCTTGAAAATAATATTTACAAAAAAAAAAAAAAAACACCAACCTCCAAACAGGCTACACTATATGCCTCTTCTCTTGATTAATCCAAATATCTGAACTAAGAAGAAACCAGAGCTGTGTAAGAAACACATCTTGTAAATCTCTTAAAATCATTTGATCATCTGATGTTTCTTGAGTTTCATTCCAAAAAGCAACAGATTTGGACCCATGATAATTCCATGTATTTTTTAAAAAACTATATTGCCAGAACTGATTCCAATTTTTCACAGATGTATTTGAAAAGCTGTGATTTTGGAAGCAGTGTGGATGAAGTGATACAGCAGATCAAGAAACAGGAGGCTTTCGAGAAGATTCTAGCCTCTCAGGAAGAAAAGGTAAAATCTTTATATATAATGTATAAAGAAAGACATGGGCAAATAGCCAGGTAAAACCTGATGTTTATGTCTCATGTCGGAGGACTGGAAAAAGTACTGTGCAAAAGCAGTTCAGACAATAGTTATAACATTGTTTTATAGAAGCTGCTTTATAAGACCATTTTGAAGTGCTGATTTTCAAGAAATATGGGAGTTTTTCAGGGAAAGTATCTGGGAAATTTTACCTGGGGAGAAAGAATATCTTTGTTTGGCACTAAATATCACAGAAAATAAAATATACAGTGAATTTAACGATTTACCCTTAAATAAAATTTCCCAAATAATATTTCAGATAATATCAACAAGGTAAGAAGAGGTTCTCAGAAAGCTTTACTCATTCATATCACACAAATGCATTTTTTATTACTGGTGTTTGGTTATGGGCAATTTTGAACTTCCAGTAGAAAAAAATATTTTATATATACAGCCTGTTATCAGTTAACTGTAGTTTAAGTGTTGGTCTTTCAGGAACACTCTCTTCAGGAGCAAATGGAAAAATTGCAACCAGCTAGTGAGTTGGAAGTAACAAAGATTCAACAGAGGCTGAGTGTGGTGTTAAAGAAAAGAAGACGTATCAGAGATCTTTCTCAAAGTAGGCAAGAAAAATTGCAAGTAGAACTCCTGCTAGCTCTATTCTACCAGAGTCTAACTGAGGTGAGAATAAGTTGTGTATTAGTGAAGCATTGTCTGGGAAATAGAAACGTTCATTCTCTTTGCGGACAGTGAAGCTTGCTGTCTCACTCTCCATTCAGACCAGGGGTGAATTTCAGCAGGTTCTGACAGGTTTTGGAGAACTGGTAGCAGAAATTTTGAGTAGTTCGGAGAACTGGCAAATACCACCCCTGGCTGGCCCCACACTGGGGTGGGAATTGAGATTTTGCAGTATCCTTCCCCAGCCATGCCCACCAAGCCATTCCCACAGAACTGGTAGTAAAAAAAAATGATCTTGGTGATTAAGATTAAATCTGTGATTTCCTGCTGTTTACCCATTGACATTGCTTGTTAGAAGCTGGCTGAGAAGGTTGCAAATGGTTAATCAGATGGCCATGGGATGCTGAGATAGCCCAAGTTTGAGAAACCATGATAAATCTTCTTTTTCAGTGTTGTCCTGACTTTGAATGGTCACTGAATGAGCAGCCAGAAAATTAAGACTGCCTTTAATGGTTAATTGTTGTAGTGTGTGTGTGGATATAAAAAGAGGGCCTGCTTCAACATAGTAATCAAAATAAATTTTCTGCTAAGGAAATAATTGAGGCAGAATAATTGAAATATCATCTGGAAGCAATCACTACACCTCATTTCCAGAAGAGATCATTCTGAAGAAGATCAGACACAGTCATCTGCAGTGACATCCATAGGATCTTGCTGCTTGCATCAGAACGACAAAAGCGATATTGTGACATCACGCCACAAACTCCAGCCTTTTGGACCATGCCTGCAGCATTAGCACACTGCTTTTGTCAGTCTTACCCCCCCCTTCCCCACCCCACCAAGACATCTGTGATCCCCTGGCCCTCTTCTGACCCTCTTGTGTTTTCCCACTTTTTGAGTTTTTTTTATTTTTCTCACATCTTTTAAAAAAAGAAAGCTCAAAAGAGCTATCGTGGTTGTTATCATTGTTTTATTGTTATAATTCTGAGGCTCTGTGCTTTGGAACATAGTTTTCACATTCCATGTATTCTTATATATATTTAAACATAAACAATATAATGCAACATTTAAATGCTACAGCAGCTTTCCCTAGTGCCTTCGTACTTAAATTAGTCTCTAAACCAACATTTGTAGCCAGTGTGGCTAGGTATATGGTCTATGAATTACAGCAATAAAATCCACCTGGAGAGCAAAGGGCTGGGAAAGGACATATGAGTACTAGAGAGTTACTATTATATCTCATTCCTCTACAGTTGGAAGAAATCCAAGGTATTTCTTTATCAACTAGCTGATAGCCTTCATTTTATCAGTATTTCTTGGCCTGAGTCAGTTCTTCAGGAGAGCCAACTATAGTAAAACCTGAAGGAATGTTGCAACCATTAACTTAACAACATTAAGTTATACTGCATTAATTCAAGTCTGATCACTTGTCATGTAGAGAGTTAAGGGGCTGAGCAAAGCTTTTGTGTGCAGCTTTATTTCAAAGCTAGTTCAGTTATATCATGGGTATCTAATTTGCAGTATCATGTTACTGTCACAGGATGTTTCATGATGTTTTTCCCCTTCCTGGAGCTGAGGTGGGCGTAATCTGTGCGTGACACATCCAGCCCACAGGTCACCAGTTTGATACCCTTGAGTTACATTACATCACATATTTCAAATGGCAAACTGACTTACAGATTCAATACTTTTGCAAGAGACACACATCTTTAGCAAAGCTACAAATTGGAAATTCAGGTCACACATTGGGCTGAATAGCACTTTTAAACTGAAAAACAAATCTGATCTTATTAGATTTGCATATACTACTCTTAGCCTTACATGCAGTGATAATCATGTTGCTCTTTTGGTGACAGGCAGAGGGTTGGATTGATGAACGCATGCAGAAGATGAAGGTTCCTTCTTTTCAAAACTTCAGCAAGTCATGTGACAAAATGAAGCTTCTTCAGAAGCATCAAGCCTTTGAAGCTGAGATTCTGGCTCATAAGGATATAATTGCCACTGTTAAAATGGCAAGTATTGGTACCTTACATTTTGTGGTATTTGGTTCCTGTGAGATTCTGCTGTAGCATGAGGTCAAGCCATGGATAGATAAAATACATACAAAAGTAGGATAAATGATGGGTCAAATGTTTTCCAGCTTAGCTTCATTAAACAGTCAGATCAATCTGTATTGCAATTGTTAGAAAATCTCAGTAAGAACCAGGAGTATATAGCCTTAAATATATTGATGTCTCACATCATCTTGGCTGCCCTCTGCCAGGTAGACAACATTAGACAGATGTAATCATTCTACTTCTCTCTCATATCTTGAATAATTTACATGTCAAATCAGTCTGTCAGGGTTCCAAGTAACACCCCCAACAAAAGAAGACTCCGAGACTTGAGTTTCCTCAAAGTTCCACTTTATTAGAGATGTCATACTGGCACATCTGGGAAAACCTGAATCTGAAAGTTTCCAGGTTTTCCCCACCCAAGTAAAAGTTCAAGTCCCAGCCCAGCACCCACATGTCCATCACATGGTCCAATCAGGCACTATTCCAACTGGAGATTCCTCCCAGTCATGTCATCGCAGCTGCCAAGCAAAATGGCCTTGACTTTATGAGAAAGAATGTTATTTTGACTATATATCTCCCATACTCCATATAATTCCCCCCTCCCATTTTCCCACAGTAGAAAATGTGGCAGGCCTGAAGGCCCAAATGTAAAAGATGGCTTCCAGGCCTGACACAGACAATCCCTCTACCTCTGCTGGATACAAATCTGGATCATATACCCTGGAACCAGACTTATGTACACTATGTGTTTAACCTTTGTCACTGGCCTTCCGATCTTTTAGAACTGAGTTGTGTTAGAAATAGCACAGAAATATTGCAATCTTCTTCTTATTAATTATTCCCTCTTAACTATTTAAAGAGAGGAGAAGCTCTATTACACCACAATATTCCCCAATTGGAAGACATCCGCCAAAAGATGTACTTGCTCCAAGAAAGGTGGGAAATGTTGAATCAGGCTGTTGCTGCTCATGGAAAGATGCTTGAGGAGAGTAGGGATTTTCTTGAATTTCTACAAAAAGTCGACCATGCAGAGGCTTGGATCAGAGACAAGGTTGGTGAATTTGCAGGCCACTGTTTCTGTTTAGAAAACACATTTATAGCTGGAACGTTGTAATGTAAAATGGTAATTGTAGCAGGAAATGTACACTTTTGTTTCATTTTGAAAAATGCCCGAAGCATTTTCCTGTTTTCAAATACGTGGATATAAATCAAGCCTGTTTTACACAGAGGCTGCTACTTTGTTCTATATGCATGACTAATCTTCTAGGATATGAGCTTGTTATTTATTCTAAAAAAAGTGAGCAATATTCAAAAGAGTACAAAATGTACCTCTTCTGACCATTAACTTGGTGATCATCAAGGGGAGGGGGATTTCTTATTCCAAAATGTACTAAGACACTTTTGTTAAATATTTTTATTCATTTTATTCTGGGTATTTTAGAAAGTTTTAATTTGCACAAAGAAAACTGTTACATAATTTTATGAACTGCAAGTGGGGATTTATTGGACTCTAATGTTACATCATTGTAGGACCAACTGAAAATATTTAATATTCCCCAAAATTCAAGAGAAATCTTAATGTTATCAACAACCATTTTTTCTTCATAAAGCAGATTTTGCACTCATTTTGTCTGCCACTGGTTGCAGGATTTTAAGATTTTAAGAATTAGATGTGTGATTTGAATCAAAGTTAAGGATTAAATCCTAATTAATTGGTGTCAGAAAAGAACTACTAAATCTATTCACTAAAATGTTGCATTTATTCCTTCAAACTTCTGCACTGATTTCTGATTTTTTTTACTTCTAGGAATACAGTCTTTTTTTAAAAGATCCAATGAATCAATTTGCATTAAAGTAACAAGTACTGTTTTACTTGTTTTCAAACAAGTAACAAGTACTGTTATCAAAACAATTCATAATGCAGGAGGGTGTTATTTAATATGTTATTGATGTTGCATTCAAGAAAGCAGATTGCCATAATAAACTTGAATTCCAGTGAGCAAGAAGAGTAGCTAAACATTGAAAATTGCATTTTGTTTTAATCGACTCCTAATGATATTGGTGTTGCTCACCAGGTCGTCATGGTTAATATTGGTGATGTGGGGAATGACTATGAACACTGCCTTCAGCTTTTGAAAAAATTAAATGAATTCCGAGGAATGTCAGAGGTAAGTGATATTGTTTCCATTAGCTAAAATAAATAACATTTCAGGACATTGGCATTTTAGGATAATTTGATTGATGAAAGTTAGTGTGACATCAGAATTGTTGGGTTTTTAAACCCTGTAAATTGTTGCCCTTCTAATTTACCATGTGAATGCGAGAGTTAATTATTTCCCTGAATTACATTATACCAAGAATAGACTTCAAAATGGTATGCACAGCTTTTTTTCTCATATTTTATCCTTAGCAATAGCAATAGCAGTTAGACTTATATACCGCTTCATAGGGCTTTCAGCCCTCTCTAAGCAGTTTACAAAGTCAGCATATTGCCCCCAACAACAATCCAGGTCCTCATTTTACCCACCTCGGAAGGATGGAAGGCTGAGTCAACCCTGAGCCGGTGAGATTTGAACAGCCAAACTGCAGAACTGCAGTCAGCTGAAGTAGCCTGCAGTGCTGCATTTAACCACTGCGCCACCTCGGCTTATAATAATCCTCTGAGATAGGTTTGGTTTGGAGACTGTAGTTGGTGTAGAGTTATATGGCTGAGAGGATTTGGGACTGATTAGAAAACCCTAATGGGACACAGCGGCTCAGTGGCTAAGGTGCTGAGCTTGTCGATCAGAAAGGTCGGAAGTTCGGCAGTTCGAATCCCTAGCACCACGTAACGGAGTGAGCTCCCATTACTTGTCCCAGCTTCTGCCAACCTAGCAGTTCGAAAGCATGTAAAAATGCAAGTAGTAAAATAGGGACCACCTTTGATGGGAAGGTAACAGCATTCTGTGCACCTTCAGCATTTAGTCATGCCGGCCCCATGACCCCAGAGTCTTTGGACAGCGCTGGCTCTTTGGCTTTGAAACGGATATGAGCACCGTCCCCTAGAGTCGGGAATGACTAGCACATATGCGCAATGGGAACCTTTACCTTTACCTTTAGAGAACTGACATGGATCTTTATGTTCCATAATGTCAGGAAGGTTAGAATTGATTTATTTCTAGAGCAAATGTGATCTATTTGAAAAAGCTAAGTTTCATTTTGTTTGTAGAAGCTGTAGCGCCATTACAGGTAGTCCTCGATTTACAATCACAATGGAGTCTAACATTTCTGTGGCTAAGTGAGACATTTGTTAAGTGAGTTTTGCCCCATGTTACAACATTTTTGCTACAGTTGTTATGTGAATCACAACAGTTGTTAAGTTAGTAACATGGTTATTCACTGAATTTGACTCCCTCTTTGACCTTCCTTGTCAGGAGGTCTCAAAAGGTGATCACATGACCTGGGAACACTGCAACAGTCATAAATATGAGTCAGTTGCCAAGTGTTTGAATTTTGATCATGTGACCATGCAGATGCATCAACAGTCGAAAGTATGAAAAATGGTCGTAAATCACTTTTTTGGATGCTGTTGTAACTTTGAACAGTCACTAAATGAACTGTTGTAAGTCGAGGACTACCGGTACTTAACAGTAAACAGCTGAATGAAATGGAGTTATAGGACTCACGCTGTCAAGATGCAAAGTTTTGTAAGTTTTGAGGATTACCTGAATTTTATATATTGAAGGAAACTCTTTCACATTTTTGTTTCCATTTCTACCCTTTTTCATAGCAAATAAACAGACACACACACACGCACACACACACACACACACACACACACAGTGACACAGCAGTTTAAATCGCCAATTTGAAAGATGTTCCTTCTATTAATCCAGAGAGATAGTAAATGTTAAGAAATGCTCAATAGGAACTCACAGTTAGGTTTAACATAGACATAGATGTAAGACTTAGACTCCTAGAAGGAAGGAGAAGAGGGAGGAGAGAATTAAGACTTTGCTTTACTATCTGTTTTTTCTTTGATTTTCATCTTATAGGGGATCACAGTGGATGATGCCTACATCAAAGGCATCAATGCTCTTGCTCTGCAATTGAAGAGGCAGAATAAGGAAGAGATGAAAATAATATACCAACGCCGAGAACAGCTGAATGAAAGGTGTGTGGATAAATTCTGCTGATCCAAACAAAGAGGAAAATGTTCAGTCAAATGTGACTAGAGACAGAGAGAAACGCTGACATTCCCATGTTGATGTTTACATGGAGAAGGCTGATCTTCTTCTTTCATATATCATCTTCAAGTAAAAATGAATTGTCATGATGGGTGTGTAAGAGTAAAGAGGGAGTGACTGTTTGAATTTCATTCCCAACACTAGTTAAAAAGTTTTATTATAAACATCACTGAAATATAAATTGCTAAGGCAATGGCAATCTTCTAGTTAGGAATAAGTGTCAATATAACCTCAAGCACTCAAACCATTTAAAAAATATAATTGTGAAATAAGTACGATTTCAATTAACTGGGTATTGTCTGATTAAAATTCTTCTGGTGACAGAAAACACGGGTCAGCAGAATGGAAGTCAGTACTATTGGAGGGTTGGGGCAGTGATCCCGCCAAGCCCTTTTATTGTTACCCAATCAGATCCAGTCTTATACATTAATCACTTTTGATGTCATTTTGTTTGTGCTTGCTTAATTACATAGATAAATAAAGTTGGGCTGGTGAGAATAATAAACCCAAACATATCACTGTTTTATTTCTCTAATCCCATATTTGATCTAATCCATATTCGAACTTCTCAAATAAAATTAAATGTTTTGCTGACAGGTGGAACAGTTTCCATGGTGATCTTAAAACGTATAAGAGGAAGTTGGAAGAAGCCCTGCAAATCCATGCCTTGATTAGAGAAATTAATGACATCACGGAGAGAATTGGTGAAAAGGTGATTTATTTTATTATTTGTAAAGGTGCTTTTTTACCTTGACAAGTTCTCCAAAGTGGATACAATTTCAGAAAACCAAATAGTAATAAAATATCAAGAGGGAATTTTGACAGTCAGAGGTACAAAGAAAAGAGAGATTCAGAAGAATATTCCCAAACATTATCATATCAAACAGTTCTTGCTCCCTGTCTCTTCTTAAATCTATCTATCTATCTATCTATCTATCTATCTATCTATCTATCTATCTATCTATCTATCTATCTATCTATCTATCTATCTATC